GGAGGTGTGATGTGATTCATCTGCCACTCATCCCAAGAAACAGTTGCCCGTTTTTTGTTGCACATGTACCCTGCCTGGGGCTAGGGTCTCATGCTCCAAATTCTTCTTTTGCTTTCTTTTTTGGGCCATCCTCAAGTTTCAGAGAGCAGCATTAATAAGATGCTCGCTTTGGTTTTTTTTCCAAAGTACTTAAGAAAAACCCAATCTGCCCTATTGCCATTCATAAGGAAAGCATTGGAGAGAGTATAATGAGGGTTCCAGTGCTACATTCATGTTTTTTTCTGGCTGATTTTATTTGATCTTTTTTAACATCTAACTCCTGTTTTTCCAGATTGGAGAAATATTCACCACTGACGACTGCTCTCAGAAATGCCAGTGCACAGAAAGCTCCACTGTTTTCTGCTTGGATGAAGTGTGTGGGTCTGCAGAAATCTGTGGCATTTCAAACTACAGTCGTGGATGCTACAGGAGTGAGTCAACCACTGTCACATTGTCTTTGATGCTGTGAAGTCTTGACTAACTTTAAAGGGCATCATTGGGTTAGGGATAGTTGCAAGACAGAAGAAAACCATGCAAGGGATCTTGCTCTGATGTTTCACTGCAGAAACAGTGTTTCTTTCCCTCATTCATGTTGTCAGATACAAGAAACATGTTAAAATACAGGGGATGTGCAGCATTAGGAGTCAGTGTAATCTAAGCAAGAACAGTTCTCTTCAGGGTTGGATTATCTGAGAGTCAAGTGTTTCTCCTTTTTTCCCAGGTGGCCCATGTATGCCAAACCCTTGTAAGAATGATGGCATTTGCTCTGAAACTTCCAACAGCACCTCCCTCCACTTCTGTGAATGTTCAGAACTCTACACAGGACTAAACTGTGAGGCTGAAAAAATAGGTAATAAAAATATTCTGTATTTCTCTGTCTGCATTAAACACATCATTTTCAAAAATGGATGTTGTTGTGGAGAAGAACTGGGCTTGCTCTTAATTTTCATGATGTAGGTTAGTAACCCAGTGGGTGAGAGCCTGTGGTCATCCAAGCAGAGAGAAGGGTCAGAAGTCCAGTGGAGAGGTACCAGAAAGCAGGACAGCAGGGCTTGGTACAGCACACAGGACCTGGCTCTGACACTCCAGAAAGCCACAGAGAACACAAAAAAACCAAGCAGACAGAAAAGGGTGGAGAAAAACCATTTCTGTTCACAGCACGGTTAGCTTTCAGTGACAGTGCTCTTGTTTGTTCTTCAGCTGAAGGCCCTGACAAGGAGGATTCGGGCCACACCATTGCCATTGTCATCGGAGTCGTGGCAGGAGTAGCTGTTATTGTCATTCTCATCTCCTCTACAGTGTTCCTGTTCAGGTAAGGCCTTTCCCAGCTTTGCTACATTCAGCAAAGCAAAGGCACCTCTTTTAGCACCTGTAAAACTCAAAACTCTCATCAGTCACGTACATGCAAGAGCAGAAAGGAACCACAGCACTGGGGATCTCTTCTGAGGAATGTGAGGGAAAACTTAACTTTTTTATCAGAAATTATGACATTCCATTACTTTTACACAGGGCATGTGCACCACTTATCATAAAACTCTAGCTTCTCCAAAACCCAGTTCTGTTCATGCTCACAACATTGTTTGATCTCTCACTATAAGTAAGAATTGAAATTAAAATAGGTTGTTCTTTTCTTTTTTTTTTTCCCATTGTACAGTAAGAAGAGAAAGGTGGATACAGTTACTATAACGAGGGATTCCTCTTTGAAAGAGTCCAGGGATAAACCGGATGCCAGAGTACGTGAGCAAGATTATGGCTGCATCGTGAATCGTGCATTTGATCAAAATGAATCCCCAAATACACACCTATAGTTAACAATATTATTACTATTAATTTCTCATACTTTTTTCTCTGTATTTTAATCATATTTCTAATACTTTGAGAAGAAATAATAATAAATTTATAATTGCATTTGTTGAAAACCTTTGTAATTGTTCATTTAAAATAGCTCTTAGATCTCACCTTGTAGGCCCAAAATGAAATATGTTCTAACTCACAGAGACTCTGCTGTCTTCAAAGATGTTTGAAAAGCACAAATTCCAGACAAATCTTGATGGCACAAATGTGCTGCACAACAAGACATACACACCTCGGAGTGATGTACAAACCATAGGCTGATGTGATCAGAATCCAAACTGAAAAAGAGTAGGTTAAGGTTAGATATCTGAAAGTAGGTTTATGTTAGATCTTAGAAAGAAATTCCTTACTATGAGGGCAATGAGGCCCTGGAATCGGTTATCCAGAGAAGTTGTGGATGCCCTGTCCCTGAAAGTGTTCAGGGCCAGGTTGGACAGAGCTTTGAGCAATCTGGTCTAATGAGAGGTGTCCCTGCCCATGGCAGGGGATTGGAATGGGGTGATCTTTAGGTTCCTTCCAACCCAAACCATTCTATGATTCTATGAACTATTTATAGCATCCCAGGCAGGTCTTCATGACATCTTACTCAAATCCTTCCATGGGGAGGGGATTAGTTGACCGACATGGACACAGTTCTTTACCCCTCTTCTGGCAAGGCATGTCCAGCTGGAGAGAGAAAGAAACAAGACACTGAGCTCACCTGAGGACAGATGTAATAAAAAGGATGACCTCCATTGTCCTCTTAGGGTGGAGGGGACAGGAAGCAGGCTTGTCATCAGTCCCCAGCCTGTGGGGACTAAGTAAGAGCATAACTTAAAAATTTTCTGAAGAATGAGATTGTATCATAATGTCTCCTTGGAGGTCTTTGCAAACTCAGAAGCTGCCACACTGATGAATGTGAGAGGAGCTCTGCATCAGCCCCACCATACCTAGGACTCCCCTGCATCAGGAGACCAAAGGTATTTGCAGCAATGCCTAGTTACCTGCTGTGTGTGAGACCCACCCCATGACAGACCACTCACAAAGCTCAGGGACTGAAGCATTGCCTGAGCCTTGTCCAAGCCCAGAACAGATTAGCAGGGCTGTGAGTGAAGCTTTGAGACCTACAGCACCATAAAAATATTTCTGGTGCTTTCCCAGGTCGTTGTGGGTTACTTTCTGATTGTTGAGGAAGACTGCAGGTAGCTCAGTGTACAGCTGCAGTGTAAGGTGCAGACTGAGCTCTGGTGGCAAGGCCTGGCTGACTGATGCACACCCTTTACATAACAAAGGGCAGGGGGACCTGTGGCACAAGCACATGTACAGACATTCAGAGATACTGCAGGAACTGAGGACCCCAGACTGTGAGGGTACAAAATTCACAGGGTTTCTTTTGTTTGGGGTTCCTCCTTGGAGGCATCCAGCTCAAGCTGTTGCTTTGTTGTTGCACCATGATTAATTTATTTTAAGGATCCAGATGTTTGAGACTCTGCTACGGCAACCCTGGGGCTGCACAGGTGAGAAAACTTTGGATGTGAGTGTGAGGTGTACAGGGAGTCAAGGGGGGCACCTCAAAGGCACTCTGACAGGGCCTCTGTCCCAGCTCAAGTGCAGCACGTGTGACTGCCAGAGTGAGTCCTGGATGGTTGGCCAGGAGGGTTTCCTTAACAGGGCTTGCTGGTTTTTCTTCTGTAATGCTTGTTATTATTTAATTGCCCTTTTTCCTTTCCCTTGTGTCCATAAATTCATGTGTACTGTTAGCCAGAGAAGTATTTGCAGTCTCCATGGTGAGTTAGGTTATTCTGGTCCATTCAAGAGCACACCGGCTGTCCCTACACACAGGCTACATCTATTTTGGAAAGGGTATGAATAGAAAGGGCCTTTCAACCTCATTACACAATGAAAATCAATCGGTGAGAGAGGCCTACTCGTGCACAAATGAACTGTGAAGTTCATGCTGGAATTTCACTGTGTTTATAATACCATCTTTGCTGGCTGTTCAGTGGCAGTTTCTATTGCACTCTCGTGCCTGCCACAGCGTGATTCCGTGACTGCCGAGCAGTGCTGACCACACTCACCTCCCTTTGCACTGGGTGGGAGCACAGGCCAGTCCCTCCCCTGCAGGATCCCAGCCCAGGCTCCCCCAAGCCACAGGACCCTGCTGTGTCCAGGTGAAGCAGATATCTGGGTTTCCATGTATATGTTTGGGGTTTTTTCCATGCCACAAGAATTGCCTTGGTGATTAAATTTCCACTGCAAATCTTTGCAAATAGTTCCGATTTAAAGAAGGGGATGATACAGAAAGCAGAACTGTCATTCAATGCTCCTCTGAAATAACAATTAATGTCACTGGAAGACAGAAAGATGGCAAATCTTCCACTGCTCTCATCTTTTATATCAACCAACTTGCTTGGCTGACTTCTGAAATGCAAGGCTTTAAATACTGCTTAGTTCAACTTACCCAGAGGACACTTTTCTCATTAGTTGTAGCACATTGTGCCAGCAACAGTAAAGGAGACGGCTGTACGGGCTCAGCTGTGCCTGTCTCTTGGATCAGGACCCTGGCGCGGCACAGTCATGGAATTCCTCTGCAGTCCCAAAGGAAAGGCACAGGCCACGTTATAAAAACACATCCTAAAAATCCCTTTGCCCTAAAATTATTTCACTCAGAGCTCCACCTCCTTTGTTTCTCATCACGGTGAAGAAGTAGAACGGCAGCACCCCATTTTTGTCTCGAAAGGTTTCCTGCTGAGGAATGCTCGCTCACCGCTCGGCCGAGCGGGACCGGAGCCACTCCGCGGCTGGAGGGGCTCGAGGAGCTGCGGAAGGCTCCGGGAAAGTGGCAATGGCACATCCTCCTCGGGGGCAGGATCGGATTTTCCACTAAACCAGCGGTTTTCGCAACAATCACGGGAGCGGAGCGCCCGGATGGGAGGAGCGGTGGGAGGGAGAAGGCGGGGGCGGTGGGACGGGACGAGATGGAAGAGGAGACGGACGAGGCAGCTCTCGGTCAGCGTCGCCCGTGAGCCCGACAGGATCGACGCAAGCGCCATCTTCATCCTATTTACGGCGAGAGCAGCGGGCCGGGATCCCTGCCCCGGGCCCTGCGCCGGCCCCGGGCGGCAGCGGCCCCGAGCCGGCTCCGGCCGAGCGGGGCCGCCGCTCCGGCAGCCGCTGCCCTCGGCGCCCGCCGCTGACACCCTCCGTGCCTGCGCTCCCGGCAGCTGCCCCTGCACAGCCCTCGCCTCCCCGCTGCGCTCTGCCCTGCGCTGAGCCAGCCCGGCTGCGGCTGCACGGCCTGACCGCACCGTCCGGACATGGCAGAAGGCAGGCGCGACCCCCAACCTGGGGACCTGATCGAGATCGACCGGCCAGGTTACCAGCACTGGGCGCTCTACGTGGGTGATGGATATGTGATCAACGTCACACCTGTAGGTAAGGCTGGTGCCGCCTGACAATGTACAGAGTGGGTGTTGGGATGCACCAGGAGCCCTGTCTCCCTCCATGTCCTGCTGCAGGTAGACCCTGTGTGTGTAGATGTCCTTTCCAGGAGCAGAGGAAACCCATCTGAGGTCATGCAGAGGCCAGAGAGGCTCTGCCTGCCTGTCTTATCTCTTCCCTGACTTCCCCAGATGAAGGATCCCCATCTCTGTCAGTGAGCACCACATCAATATTCACCAAAAAGGCCAAGGTGAAGAAGCAGCTCCTGAAGGAGGTGGTGGGAAATAATAAATGGCGTGTCAACAACAAGTATGACCGCTCCCGCACTCCTCGCCCTGTGGGGGAGATCATCCAGCGTGCTGAGCTATGGATTGACAGGGAGGTGACATACGATGTACTTAACAGAAACTGTGAGCACTTTGTGACAGAGCTCCGCTATGGAGAGGGAGTCTCTGAGCAGGTGAGTGTCGTGGGGTGAGCCCCTGGTGCCTCCCAGAGCCCCTCCTGGCTGCTGGCTGTGAGCTGGGCACTGGGACACAGCCTGCAGCCTGCATGGGGACAGCCCAGTGCCAGGCGTGGGCTCCAAAGCAGCGCTGCCTCCCCAGAGCCCCTGCCCCTGGAGGGTCACTGTGCTCTGTCTGCACCCTGACAGTGCCCTCAGACTGAGTGCCACCTCCTGGGGGCACAAACCTGCCTGTTACCCCTTCTGATAATGGGGCACATGCCTTCACTGATGTATTTACCCTGAGTATCCCTGCCTTATCTATATTATCATGCTGGGGGGGAGTAAACATAAGTGCTCCTCATGTTTCCAGCCTGTATTTTACTTTCCCTTTATAGGTCACAAAAGCTGTAATTGGTGCTACAGCAGCTGTAGGAGGTATCATTCTTGCTGGTCTTGCCACCGTTGTTGTGAAGGGCTTGTTTGGGGACTCATCCAAGAGAGAAAGAAAGTACTACTGATGGGCTGTCAGGAAGAGCTCAGACCAAGGCAGGGGCATCTCCTGGCCACAGCAGTCACTGGTCAGCTTTTGCTGCACCTGCCATCAAGGCTTTCTAGCAACTGTGCCACCCTTGCTGTAAATATTAAATAATATAAGAATAAATTATGAATATTTAATTAAATAAAATGTCAGAAATCCAAATTTCCTTTAATTTCCCAAATCCTTTAATTTCCCCAAAATTTTCTTTTATCTAACTTTGCATCCAAATTCAACTATTCAGCCTTGCTTTTCCCTGCTATCTCATTAAGAAATAAAAAGTCAAGTTTGGCACCATTTAAGGTGACCTCCAGCAGCATTAGCCTGCTTGCCGTTTCTACTTTATATGTCATTGCCTGTGATGATTTTTGTGGTAGTCTGGGCGCATTTGCACTGTCTGGGTGCATTGCACAGAAGCCTGGGTGCAAGTTTTTCAACCATTTTCATCAATTGATTCCTGTAGGCTTTTTCTGTATATCTGAGATTTTAACCTCAACTTTCAAAAACCATCAAAAAAGTACTGCTGAGAGTTTTCCAGCTGAGGCTTTATTTAGGTGGGAAAGCCCTGGCTGCAGTGTCTGCACAGGAGCAGGCAGGGCGTGTCCAGTGTCTTGAGCCTGTACTTGTGCTGCTTAAACTGAGAAACTCCTGGGAGTCGGAGGGAAGGTCAGGTTTTATAAGCTGTACCCTTCATAGTTTTACAGGAGTGCTCTAGTTTTGGCATGATGGTGTTTTAATTGGTTTTTCCCTGCCTACAAAGTATTTACAAATGTACTGAGCCACACCATTTCCTTGGCACAAAGATGATGTGTGCATTGACTTGCAAGAAAACTGTTCAGGCCAAGTGTGCATTATTGTCCATTACCTGGGGGATCTGCCTTGAGTGTTTGGAACCAGGTTACCTGCATCCCACCTGTGAGACACAGAACCCTGGGTTGCTTTTCTTACAGGCAACTGCCTGGCCTGCAGGGACAGGTGAGGGCAGCACAGCTGTGTGTGAGAGGCTGGCTGGTTTTGTCTGCTTTGGGCAGGTTGTCCAGGCTTAACCCCAGCCAGCAGCAAAGCACCAGGCTGCCACTTGCTCACTCACTCCCCTGCCAGCCCCATCAGGGAGGGAATCAGAAGAGTAAAAAACTTGTGGCTTGAGAAAAAGTTGGTTTAGTAGGTAAACCAAAAGCTTTCCATGCAACAAAGCAAAACAAGGAATCAATTCATTGTTTTTTTTAACAGCAGTTTTTCAGTGTTTGAAATAACCAAGCCAAAGTTTCCAGTTGTATTTTGTACTGCCCTTTGTTATTACATTGGAAGAAAGTTCCTCGTTTTAACACAGAAAACACATTACAATCAAACTGAAAGAGAAACTCCTTTCTGGATTCCTGGAAATGGAATTGAAACTTCCTTCATGGCTAAGCTATTTAGGTGGTTATACAGTAACCCATGAGCTTTAACCTTTCTGTTCTCAGAGCATTCTCTCTGCATAAGGGAGCGCTGATAAGGGAGCTCTGTGTGAGGGCATCATATGGACCTCTCACATCTCTGCTTCATCCTGGAATACAAGAGAAGTGGTATTAATTTATCTGGGGTATTGTCTCGTTCTTGAAAGCTGCAACATTTCACAGAATGCAGAAGTTTGCAGTTGTACTGGGCATCTCTTTGCAGTCAGGGTGATGTTTTTCGTGGTGGGATACCTTTCCATGGGGCCTGGTGGGTGCCTTGACAGGATTTGGTGGAACACTGCTGGAACCATGTGGTGAGAATGTGAGGAGGAGGAGTAGCAAAATCCATCACTTGCTACATTCTGCACTTCCGAGCCTTTCCAGGAAATGCTGGCAAGTCGTGAGACCTGCTCAAGTTGCCATGGAGTAGAGTCAAGGCTGTTCTTTTTCCTACAGCTGAGAGAACTCTCATTGCCTGTGCTGTGGGGCACATCCAGCACAGGCACAGTGTGTCCCTAAAAAGAATGGCATTTGTAGGACATTAAACATCTGAATCTAGTGCACATCAGAGGATGATAACCTGGGCTGATTCAGTATAAGACAGGAAGCTGCAGCATAGTACAGCCCTGAGCCTGGCTCAAGGGCCTCACCTGGTCCTCTTCATTCACGTTGTAGGTGGGGTAATGTAAATCTAATCCATCAAGTTGCTGCTGCCTTGTGTAAATGCATTTTTTGCATTTACACAAGGCAATTAACATTGACCCTTTACATCCTCTACTGGATTTGGTACTGGTTGAGTGGTACACAAGCCAGACTATAAACATGATCCAGAGGTTGCACTTTTACAAAATGATATCTTGCCATATGTACAGTGTCAGAGTTGTTGCCTGCCATGGAACAGAAGCATCCCTTGAGGGCAGGGGCATCTGGCAAAGAGGGGGTGGCCCAGTTTCCATGGTGGTAGGACCAACGGTGGTTTTGGCAACAACCTCGAGAGCAGATCCTTCCTGGAGCAGGTGGCGGGTGTGTCCCAACGGGATAGGTCCGGGGCAAAGCCGGCAGTGAGCCCGGCAGGTTACAGCCAGGCGCTTCGTGCTCCCTATTTATAGCGGGTAGAGGAGACTTTGAGCCCGGGCATGGCAGCAGCGGGACGGGCGCTGAGGTGAGCGGAGCTCGGGGATCTGTACCAGCACTGGGCCCTGTACCTCGGGGATGGATATGTCATCCACGTTACAGGTAAGGCTGGTGCAGCCTGGCAAGGTGCAGAGTGGGCGCCAGGAACCCTGTCTCTCTCCTTGAGCCCCTGTGTGTGTAGCTGGCTTTTCCAGGAGGAGCCAGAATCACATCTGACGTCCTGGAGGGGCCAGAGAGGGTCTGCCTGACTTCATTACCTCCTCCTTGGCTCATGCAGATGAAAGAGCCTCATCCGTTTGGCTTAGCAGCTCTTCAATACGTGCCACAAGAGCCAAGGTGAAGAAGGACCCACTGGAGGAAGTGGTGAAAAATCATAAATGGCGTGTCAACAACAAGTATGACCGCTCCCGCACTCCTCGCCCTGTGGAGGAGATCATCCGGCGTGCTGAGCTATGCATTGACAGGGAGGTACCATATAATGTGCTTAACAGCAACTGTGAGCACTTTGTGACAATGCTTCGCTATGGAGAAGGAGAGTCTGAGCAGGTGAGTGTCGTGGGGTGAGCCCCTGGTGCCTCCCAGAGCCCCTCCTGGCTGCTGGCTGTGAGCTGGGCACTGGGACACAGCCTGCAGCCTGCATGGGGACAGCCCAGTGCCAGGCGTGGGCTCCAAAGCAGCGCTGCCTCCCCAGAGCCCCTGCCCCTGGAGGGTCACTGTGCTCTGTCTGCACCCTGACAGTGCCCTCAGACTGAGTGCCACCTCCTGGGGGCACAAACCTGCCTGTTACCCCTTCTGATAATGGGGTGCCTGTCTCTCCTTTATTTACCCTCATTATCCCTGCCTTTTCTATATTATCATGCTTGGGGGTTGTAAATATAAATGCTCCTTATGTTTCCAGCCTGTGTTTTGTTTTCCCTTTTATAGGTCCAAAAAGCAGCTGCTGGCAGTGCTGCAGCAGCTGTGGGAAGTATCATTCTTGGTGTTGCTGCTTTTGTTGGGATGGCATTGTCCGAGAGCGCATCCAGGCGATAGTGCTACTGATGGGCTGACAGGAAGAGCTCAGAGCAAGGCAGGTGGATCCCCTGGCCACAGTGGTCACTGGTCAGCTTTTGCTGCACCTGCCATCAAGGCTTCCTTGCAACACTGCCACCCTTACTGTACGCATTAAACAATCCTTAATAAAATGTCTGCATCACAAAATCATATTGCCCTAAGATTCTCTTTTATCTGAATATAGTTTTGTGTGCAAGTTCAGCAGTCCAGCTTTGTTCCTCCCTGCCATCCCACTGTGACAGAAAAGTCAGTGATTTACAGGCATGCTCTAATTTTGCATGATGGTGTTTCACTCACTTTTTCCCAGCCCACAAAGTGTACTTTTCCCTGGCTCTTCTGTTTCTCTTTGGGAGCAGCAGACCCCGCAGTGTGGGGAGGTCTGACAGGGAAACCCACTGGGGTCTTTCTCACTCAGCTGTTTGTTCCACTGTGCCATTTAAGTTTTCTCCAACCCCCCTGTAAGTGCAGTGATTGCTGGCACTGGACCTGAACAAGCATTCCACGTGATTTTTATGCTCCCTTCCAACCCCAACCATTCTAGAATTCTGTTTTTCATCTGCCAAAAAACCCACTGAGGCTTAAAGAATTGCAAGGGGAGCAATGGGACTTTGCCTGCCAGAGCTGGGGCCATGGTCACTTCAGTGACCAAAAGTTGATTCCGGTGTGTTCATAGTGCCAGCACCAGATCAATCTTCCCCCAGCCAGCAGGAAGGCAAAGCCAGGCGGAGCTCCGGGGCAAAAAAGGCGGTGAACTCGGAAGGATTGCGCAATCGCCTCTAAAAACTATTTAATATCGGGAGCAGCGGGCCGGGAGCCCGCAAGGCAGGCGCGACCCCCAGCCTGGGGACCTGATCGAGATCAAACGATCTCGATTTTACCAGCACTGGGCGCTCTACGTGGGGGATGAATATGTCATCCACGTGACAGGTAAGGCTTGGACTGCCTGGCAAGATGCTGAGTGGGTGTTGGGATGCCCCAAGAGTGCTGTCTGCCTCCATGGGCTGGTAGTGGACTCTGTGTGTGTAGATGACCTTTCCAGGAGGAGTCCAAAACCCATCTGAGGTCCTGGAGGGGCCAGAGAGGGTCCGCCTGACTGCATTATCTCCTCCTTGGCTTGTGCAGATGAAGGAGCCACATCCATTACGCTTAGCAGCTCTTCAATACGCTCCACAAGAGCCAAGGTGAAGAAGGAGCCCCTGCAGAATGTGGTGGAAAATGATGAATGGCGTGTCAACAACAAGTATGACCGCTCCCGCACTCCTCGCCCCGTGGAGGAGATCATCCAGCGTGCTGAAGAATGGGTTGGCAAGGAGGTGCCATATAATGTACTTACCAGAAACTGTGAGCACTTTGTGACAGAGCTCCGCTATGGAGAGGGAGTCTCTGAGCAGGTGAGTGTCGTGGGGTGAGCCCCTGGTGCCTCCCAGAGCCCCTCCTGGCTGCTGGCTGTGAGCTGGGCACTGGGACACAGCCTGCAGCCTGCATGGGGACAGCCCAGTGCCAGGCGTGGGCTCCAAAGCAGCGCTGCCTCCCCAGAGCCCCTGCCCCTGGAGGGTCACTGTGCTCTGTCTGCACCCTGACAGTGCCCTCAGACTGAGTGCCACCTCCTGGGGGCACAAACCTGCCTGTTACCCCTTCTGATAATGGGGCACAATAAATCAGTGATTATTCTGCAAATAATCACTGATTTATTTACTCTGAGTATCCCTGCCTTATCTTTATTATCAAGCTAGGGGGTTGTAAATATGAGTGCTCCTTACATTTCCAGACAATGTTTTTTTTTACCCTTTTATAGGCCACAGATGCAATAGTTGGCGGTGCTAGAGGTGTCATAGCAAATTCTCTACTTGCTCTTGCTGACGCTGTTGGGATAACATCGTTCAGGAGATCCATGACATAGTGCTACTGATGGGCTCTCAGGCAGAGATCAGAGCACGGCAGGAGGATCTCCAGGAAGCTGCGGTCACTGCTCAGCTCTTGCTACAACGTGCCAGCAAGGCTTCCTAGCAACTGTGCCACGTTTTCTGTAAACATCAAATAAGCCTTAATTAAATGTCTGAAATCCAAACTCATATTTCCCTGAAATTCTTGTTTATCTATTTGAATATAGCGTTATTTGCCAGTTTAAAAATTCAGCCTTGCTTCTCCCTGCCATTCCAGTTAGGAATAAGAAACCATGATTGTCACCATTCAAAGTGATCCCCAGCAGCGCTCGCCTGCTTGCCACGTGAGCTTTTATTTTATTATGTGTGATGGTTATTTTTTGTGGTAGTCTGGGAGAAATTGCAAACAAGTTATCCATTCCTTCCCCACCCCACACACCTCCCCTGGAGTGCTTTGCTGAGCACCGGTGCAGACTTTTCCTCCTGATTTGATCAGCTATCTCCTGGAGGCTCTTTCTGTGTATCACTGCAATAGAAAGGACTCCTGAGGGTTTACTGCGTTTTCCAGCTGAGACACAGAGTGTGTGGTGCCGAGCCACAGAGCAGCCACCGGCAGAGCGCGGGGCCGGCACACAGAGCAGGGACTGGCACACAGAGCAGGGACCGGCACACCGGGCAGGGACCGGCACACCGGGCAGGGATCGGCACACAGAGCAGGGACCGACACAGAGCAGGGACCGGCACCGAGAGCAGGGACCGGCACACAGAGCAGGGACCGGCACACAGAGCAGGGACCGGCACACAGAGCAGCCAAGTCCCGGCACACAGAGCAGCCAAGTTCCCGGCACAGAGCGCACTGCTGCCCGCGGCACCGCGCCACGGCTCCGATTCCCCCGAGGGCAGGAGAGCACCACCACCAGCTACAAAACTGCCAAACGCCTCATTCCCCTCCCCAAACCATTCCTTGATGTGCCTGGGATATCAGCCAATTCCCTTATAGGGCTCATTCACCCTCCATCCATCTCCACCCTCTAATACTCCCAGCATCTTCACCATGACAGTGGGAAAAGTTCACCTAGAAGCCTAAACCCATCAGAGTGGGAAAGCCCTAGCTGCCTGCTCTGCAAAAGGACAGGCAGGAGAAGACACATGTGCTGTGTCTTGAAACCTTAGGCAGCTTGTGCTGCCTACACTGAGCAGCTCCTGGGAGCTGAGGAGACAGGAAGCAAGGGTAGGTCATACAGACTGGATCCTTCCATGTTTTACAGGGTCATTCTGATTTTGGTGTGATGGTGTTTTGCTCAGTTTTTACCTGCCTACAATGTGTTATTTTCCCTGGCTTTTCTGGCTCTCTTTGGCAGCGTCAGATCCCCGGTTTGGGGAGGTCTGACAGGGAAACCCAGCTGTCTTTTTCTCAAATAGCTCTTTCTTGCACTGTGCCATCCAAATTTCCCACTTCACCTCTGTTTGTGCAGTGATTGTTGACCTTGAACCTGAACAAGGCTGCTAGGTGATTTGTGTGATCCCTTGCAACCCTCAACCCATTCTAGCATTCTGCTGTTTAAGCCGCCAAAAAAACACTGAAGTGCTTAAAGAATTTCAAAGGCAACAGGGGCGCTTTGACTTGCAGAGATGTGGTCATTCTCTCTTCAGTGACCAAATGTTGATTCCAAAGCATTCATAATCATTCTAAAGCACCAGTTCAATCTTCCCCCAGCCAGCAGGAAGGCAAAGCCAGGGTCCCTGCAGTGCTGGGGGTGAGGGATGTGAAGAATGAGCTGTGCAGCACCTGTGCTTCATCTCCCAATGTCCTGAGCCACACCATTTCCTTGGCACAAAGCTGATGTGTGCATTGTCTTGCAAGAAAGCTGCTCAGGCCAAGTGTCCTTTGCCTGGAGGATCTGCCTTGAGTGTTTGGAACCAGGTTACCTGCATCCCACCTGTGAGACACAGAACCCTGGGTTGCTTTTCTTACAGGCAACTGCCTGGCCTGCAGGGACAGGTGAGGGCAGCACAGCTGTGTGTGAGAGGCTGGCTGGTTTTGTCTGCTTTGGGCAGGTTGTCCAGGCTTAACCCCAGCCAGCAGCAAAGCACCAGGCTGCCACTTGCTCACTCACTCCCCTGCCAGCCCCATCAGGGAGGGAATCAGAGAAGTCAAAGTGAAAAACTTGAGACTTGAGAAATAGATGGTTTAGTAGGTAACCAAAAGCTCTGAATTAAAGGAAAGCAAATGAAGGAATTAATTCACTGCTCTTTATAATCACTTTTACAATGTTCAAAATAACCAAGTCAAGATTTCCAGATGAATTTTGTATTGCCCTTTACTTTTACATCTGAGTAAAGGCATTGGCTTTAATACAGAAGAATACATTAAAATCGAACAGAAACTGAAAGTAATTTTTTAATTCCTGGAAATGGAATGGAAACTTCTTTCATCAGCAAAGAATTTAGATTGTACGTTAACCTGTGATCTTTGACCATTCTGCTCTCAGAGCATTCTCTCTGCACTCCCTGACAAGGAGTGTGAGGGCAGCATATGGACCTCTCACATCTCTGCTTCATCCTTCAATAAAGAGAACTGGCATCATTTTATCTGGGGAATTGTCTTCTTGTTCTTGAGAGCTACAGCATTTCACAAAATGCAAAAATTTGCAGTTGTACCTTGCTTTTCTTTGCAGTCAGGGTGATGTTGTTCATTATGGGCTGTCTTTCCATGGAGCCTGGTGGGTGCATTGACAGGATTTAGTGGAACACTGCCCGAACCATAAGGTGAGAGTGTGAGGAGGGGTAGTAGAATCCATCACTTGCTGCATTTTGAGCCTTTGTAGGAGCTGTTGGCAAGGCCCAAGACCTGCATTTGCCATGGAATAGAGTCAAGGCTGTTCTTTTCCAGAGAATGGAGAGAAATATCCTGGATTGTGGTCTGGGCCACGGGCACAGCCTATCCCTAAACAGAGGGGCTTTTGTAGAGATTTCAAGCATCTGAATGTGGTGCACATCAGAGGATGAAAACCTGGGCTGATTCAGTGCCAGCCAGGGAAGCCCCAGCATTGTGCAACCTGGTCCCCAATCTGTGTTTGTGGGCAGGGTTAACATAAATCTAATCCATCACCTGTTTGCTGCAAAATCTTCTGCCTTTAACGGAGGGCATTTGGGATCCCTCTGCAGCATCTGCTGCCATTGTTGGAAGCAACTGATAGACTGGTAGCCAAGGCAGGTTTTCATCATGATCCAGCAGTTTTTGTTCTGCAAGAAAATGTCCAGTGGAGTGACAGAGCGCAGGGTCAGGTCTGTCCCATCACTGCATGGGAAGATAATTCGGGGATAGAGTCTCCCCATAACGAGGGGGTGGCCCCACTGCCTCGGCAACAAGATCATGTTTACCACTCGACAGGTTATTTTGGCACCACCCAAGGGAGCGGAGCCTTCTCCCTGTGGGGAGGTGGATGGTGCCAGACGTACAGCTGCGGGGGCAGGACGGACAGTGACCTCTCAAGGACGGCGTAATCGTCACTGGGGCGATATTTATATCGGGAGCAGCGGGCCGGGATCCCTGCCTCGGCAGCAGCGGGAGGGGCGCTGAGGTACAGCTCCTGAAGGAGGTGGTGGGAAAGGATGAGTGGCGTGTCAACAACAAGTATGACCGCTCCCGCACTCCTCGCCCTGTGGAGGAGATCATCCGGCGTGCTGAGCTATGGATTGGTGAGGAGGTGCCATATGATGTGCTTAACAAGAACTGTGAGCACTTTGTGACTGAACTCCGCTACGGAGAGGGAGTCTCTGAGCAGGTGAGTGTCGTGGGGTGAGCCCCTGGTGCCTCCCAGAGCCCCTCCTGGCTGCTGGCTGTGAGCTGGGCACTGGGACACAGCCTGCAGCCTGCATGGGGACAGCCCAGTGCCAGGCGTGGGCTCCAAAGCAGCGCTGCCTCCCCAGAGCCCCTGCCCCTGGAGGGTCACTGTGCTCTGCCTGCACCCTGACAGTGCCCTCAGACTGAGTGCCACCTCCTGGGGGCACAAACCTGCCTGTTACCCCTTCTGATAATGGGGCACATCTGACCTGGATTCAATTACCCTGATTATTTTTGGGTGTTCTCAGTTATCATATCTGTGGGTAAATATAAGTGCTTATAATGTCTCTAACCTGTGTTTTACTTTCTTTTTGCAGGCCAAGGCAGCACTTCAAAATATTAATTCTGTTTCTTCTGTAGTGATGGCTGGGATAGGAACTGCCAGTTTTATTGTGGCCAGTATTCCTTTTATGGCCAGTGCTCCTTTTGTGGCCGCTGGTAGTGGTGGTCTTCTTGCCAGTATTGGTTTCTCTTCCAGCAATATTGTTCATTCCATCACTTTTGGCAAATTTAAAAAGGCAGGGAGAAATATACTAGAACAGAGTTGCTGTTAGGAAGAGCTCAAGCAAGGCATGGAGTCCCTGGTCACTGTTCAGCTTTTGCCACAAGTGTAATAAACACTTATTAGCAACTGCTGTGATAATTACTTCAAAGACTTATTAGAATGTAAAAATTCAAACTCATCTTGCCAAAAATTGTCTTTTATCTGTTTGAGAATAGCTTTGTCTGCAAGTAATTTCTCTTTAACTACCCTCCTCCACCTGCCTAAGACACGGACTTCTTTCTCAAGTTGTTTTTGTTTTTTTTTCCCCAGGTCTCCCAAAGCTCCATTTTATACCAAACCCTTTTCCTGGGCCTCCATCAGACAGCTAGGCAGCACTCAGACCCTTCTAGCTCCCTTTCTTCTTTTGGAAGAAATGAAGTTGTATCATGGGGCTTTTTTCCAACTCTCAGGGTCCCTACAGTCAATCTATACCCTGACTGTAATTTTACAGCTTTTCAGATCCTTTTCAACTTGAAGCCCTGTATGGCCTTTCTCCCCTGCTGAGTGATACCAATAAAGATAAAACCCCATGTACTGATAAACAGTGGGGATGCAACCACAACACAAAACACCACAATGGTACCAGCAAACTGAATCAGGCCCTAAATGATCAGGTGTTCAGAGCAAAGCAGAAGCTCTACCTTCCCTGCTCAAAACAGAAAACACAAATCTTACTTACAGCTACAGTACTATGGGTTTAGTGCTGCTGATGGTTTCTGTGTTTAGGATCAATGTTTAGGGTCCCTCAGAAGAGCAGAAAACAGTTCAAATTCCATAGACAAACATTTTTGCCTTAAGGTATTGCAGAGCTACTTAACTACCCTTCATCTACAGTAGTTTGTTTCTTGTGTTTTATTCTGCAGCTACAATTTTTATACCCAGATTAAACTGCTGTTGTTTTTACATTACTAATTTGCTCAACAGTTCTGGGAATCAAGCACATTTCTACGCAAACAGGTAATTATCTTCACATACATTTTGTTAAAAGGCATTGTTACTGGCTGCTCCATGACTGTCTGCAGCATCTGGATTGAAAGGTTTTTAAGTAAGGGCAGGCAAATCTATTCTGTGGTGATGGTTATGTTTTGCCCTTTGAGGTGATTTCATTTCTGTACCTGATCGAGAAATATTAGCTACCATGCACAAAGCTTTCCTAACATCACAAGAAACCTCCCAGCACTGAAATTTGAGGGTCAAACCCAATTGAAACCCCCATTCTTCTATATTTTTTAGAGTTCCTGAGGAATTAAGTTTGGTTTGTCAGCATCTTTGAGAGCTGTGCACTCCTACTTGCAACCCCATACACCTCAGAGCTCAGAGCAGGCAGCAGTACTCTGTGAGCAAGCTCACCTGATCATCTCCAGCAAACAGTGGAGGCTGGGGACTTGGGAGGCGAAAGATGAGGTCACAGACACCTCCTGTTCTAACAGTGATAACACTGCATGGATCACTTTCAAAGCCTGAAATCCATGGCAGTCACGATGTGGAAAAATATCCTTCCCGCCTCATAATTAATAAATATCTATTGTTGATTTACTGTTCAGATATCCCTGCCAATTGTTCATTACCATGCCTGAGGCTAAATGAAAATGCTCATCGTGTTTCCAGCCTGAGTTTTGCTTTCCCTTTATCTGCTAAGATATCAACTATTTGCATGCTGGCAGTAGGTGCCTGAAATCCATGGCAGTTACGATGTGGAAAAATATCCTTCCCGCCTCATAATTAATAAATAATGAACTGTTTTTTCAGAAAGGTGTCATGTCTTGTTTATGCTTAAAATGCTATTTCCGTAATTAGTGAGAACCATGTTTGGGGGAGAAAGCTTTCCCTTGGGGGACCTGGAGGAGTATTTTTGGGGTCAGACCCTCAAACTATGCCCGGTTGTTTTCAGCTCTGCTAGGCTGCTGGACAGCACCAGCAACCGAGCAGGAGTTGCTGGAGTTGGGACTATTTGTAAATGTAGGTGTCTGCCTTGGCATTTTTCTCTCAGCCTCATTTAGTGCTGCTTTCCATGCCATGCTGGAGAGGGGCAGTGGTTCTGTCTGGGTGAGGGGTGCTGGTACTCCAGATGCAGAGGGGTGCCTGTAAGGGAACTGGCAGAGAAGCAGCTACAAAAGATGCAAAGTGGGATGGCTTGTGGAGAAAGGGAGGGTGGGAAAGATCAGCCTGGAGCAGCACTAGATGGGACAATCAAACTTCAAGAAAACACATTATTGATTTGGTTCCAGAAGAAAAAAAAAAAAAAAAAGAAAAAGAAAAAAGTGACCCTTACTTGTGTTCTGAAACCCTTCAACAACCCTTCTGGACTTCTGGCCAGAAGACATCCTGCCAAAGATAGGCACATTCACCATTAACTGCAAGAAAAACTGCCTTGGCAGTATTTGTGCTTCCATTGCTCCACTGAGGCAGTACTAGACCTCCCTGGGGGGTCCCTGACGCTTGTAAAATGCCCTAATCCCAATTCTAAAACCTTGACATGGTTTTGCTCCCCTTAGGGTTTAGGTGTCCTCTAAGTGAGTATTTATCCTGCAGTTTTCTGCCTCGCCTGTCCTGTCAGATGCTGAGGTGCCAGTGACCACCACATGCTCTGCAGCAGCCTTCAGAGCAGCCAGGCATGGCAAGAGCTTCCCAAGAGCAGAACAGATGGCTGATAACAGCAGCAATAACCCTGCTCAGCCTGAGGTTTCTTCTACCTGAAACTCTGGCTAGACAGTATAAAATCTGAGAATCTGTCCCAGCTCCAGCTTTTTAATGGACTGTGTGATGGCTGTTGAAGATCTCTGCTGCTAGAGGTGGTTATTTCACATTCCTGATGGCCCTGCTGAGCAAGGCCATTGCTGGCTGTGGAAGTGGCACACGGGCATGGGGTTGATGTTTTTAATTAAACTGGAATTGAGAAGGTGACCATGGAGTAACTCCACTGTGCAGCTGCTCACAGCACCACAGCCACCCCTGTCATCTGAGGTGTTACAAGATGCTGAAAGCAAGCTGTTCAGGTTAAACCTGAGGCATGGTGGAAGTTTGCCTGGAGTTGTCAAAATGTGATGTTACAGCTGCTGACAGAAAAACACTTTCTCCCAAAAGAACACCACTGACATGAAATAAAATAGGGGGACAAGAAAGTGCATTGTTTTCTCTGAACCTACTTTGACAGCAAGCTGTAGAAGTGCTTGACCATTATCTGAGAGACTTTCCATTCATTGCAAAATGGTTTCAGACTTCTTCCAAGGAGATCTTTACCTCAGTATGAGCATACACCTACTAGAAATAAGACAACATTTAGTTTCAGACTGAGGTCATAACATGCCATTTCACTTCCACCTTGTCAGCCTCCCTCCAGGAAATCAGGGACACAGCCTTCTGCAAGATCCCTTTGTAAAACTTTCACCTGGCAATACTTGATTCTTTGCACATTTTCACACATACCAGTCTGCTGTTAGCCACAGGTTGCTAGTTCAGACACTGAAATTTGGCCCAGCAAATTGTCACACAGACAAGTATGTATAACTACATTAGTTCTGCACACTTCAAGCATGACTGAGGTGGCCACTGCATCTGCAAAACCTTGCCAGTTATTAATGTGGTAACGTCACAAGTCCTGAGGAAAGAACCACTTTATTAATGATTTCTCCACAATGGATGCATAGTCCTTACCACACTTCCATACCCCCTGGGGTAGATATGAACTAACCCCTAGGTTTCCTCTGTTCCTCAGAGCTGCTTCTGAATCCCCAGCAAGGAGATAGTTATTAGGCATTAAAAGCATTAAATTCCCCCTGGCACCCAAAAGCAGCCATCCCTGGCTGTGCTTACAGAGGGAGCAGCTGTGTTTGCCTTGCATTTTTCTGCCAATCTCCAGGCAATGAAGCTGGAATGGAACCCTCCAGTTTGTCTGCTTCAACGGGCCTGACTTTGCTGCCTGTCAGTAGTAAATCACATCACTGAAGCAATTGCTTTAATGCTTATGTGTTAATGTAAGAATTCTTCTAAATACTACATTTTCAATTTTCTGGTGATTCCTGTGGTTGTAAAAGCAAAGAGTTCCTTTTAACTCTGCAGCATTTTTGTGCATATACCTTCTGCTACACACTGCAATCACAGCTTTACAGTGTAGTAGCTAATGATTCACTAAGCTGGAATCAATAGAGAAATAATCTAGATTGGATAAGTGGAGCTATTGAGAAACCTAGGAAAGTAGAACATTATTTTGAAGACACATTTTGTGCTTGTGTTGGTTTGTTTGGAGGCTTGTGTCATTAGATCTAATCTAATGACACAACTAAACTTTCTCTCTAAATTAAATCTTTCTATTTTCTGTTAAAACTGTTTTCACAGAATCACAGAATTGTTGTGGTTGGAAGGGACTCTAGAGATCATCCAGTCTAACCCCCCTGCCAGGCAGGGTTGCCTGGAGCAGGGAACACAGGAGCCATCCATGTGGGTTGTGAACATCTCCAGAGAGGGAGAACTCCAAGACCTCCCTGGACAGCTCTTCCAGTGCTCTGCTGCCCTCAATAGAAATTAATTCTCCCTCATATTGTGGTGGACCTGTCTGTGTTTTAGTTTATGGCCACTGCTCCTCCTGTCACTGGGCGCCACTGAAAAGAGTGTGGCACCTTCCTCTTGACACCCATCTTTGAGAAATTTATATCAATTAATGAGATTTCCTCTCACTTTTCTCCAGAATAAACAGGCTCAGCTCCCACAATTTCTCTTCATAAGAGAGATGCTGCAGACCCCAAATCATCTTTAGTAGTACTCAATTATTAATTTTCATGAGTTCATCTTGATGTGAAGTAACTGAGATGGGAGAACACTCTGGGCTGGGATGGCAGTCCTGTTTAGCAATGGCTGTGTGAGCAGAAACAGCCCTATTGGAGAGGAAACAACCCACAGCAGGTTCTCAAAATATCCTGGCGATGTGCCCTTGGAGAAGGGTTGTGAGGCTGCAGTGTGGACAGGGAGGATCTGCTTGGGCTGGGGCTGCTCACTCACAGGGCTGGATAAGCACTGCACTCCCAGTGATCCTGGGAGCAATTTGAAAGCCATAAGGAGCCCCAGCTTCACTTCCAGCTGTAGATTTTCCATCTGCATAGCCACAGGCACTCTGTCCCTCCCACCTTCGTGTTAAAAATGGATAAGTTGGTTAGACTCTTTTGACACCATGTCTCAGCATAACTCTGAGATTCATGCCCCAGACTCTTTCTATGAAGTCTTTCTGTTTCTTTCTTTTGTCTTTCAGCCCGGCCTTGAGGTTTATTCCCTCCTGGGCATGCAGTTCAGACTGAAGACATGCAAGGCTGGGCTGGGTGAAGACCCTGTAATTTCATCACAGAAGTTAATTCCCCCCTAAGGAGCTGCTGGCTGACAAGGTGTGTCTGCCAGACCACAACATGGCCAATCACCATTCAGTCTGGCCTGTTAAGGAGAACTTTAAATAGATATATTTATCTTTGATCACCACTAGCATCCCCTGTTACTAGCACAGGCACAGTGAAATTAATCTGGAAGCAAGCAGCTCTATTAAAAAGCACAATGAATCCAGGACCTGTTGTGCCTCTGGGCCATCAAAGCCTCTTCTGTTTCCACCACATTATACCTTGTTCTCAGCCTGATCATAATTGGCTTATTAATTAATTAATACTTCAGAGATACCATGAAGCTGCTAAACATCCCATGAAACCAACAAATATTTATATCTTATTAAACATAAAATAGGATATTTTGTAAGTAGAATTAAATTCCTTTACCGCCTCACAGTGTTGAGCTTAGCTGACAGCTAGTTTTACAATACATTTAAAAATGTGAACATTTAGGAAAGAGTAATTATGCAAATAGACTAATGAGATCCATGCACACAGCAGTAGCTCCTCCTCATGTTCTTGGCAAGAGGTCGCCAGCACCTTCCGGGATGGATGCACATTGGACACATCTGGAAAAATAGCTTTACATTGTGTTACCTTCCAGAGGATGGTTTCAATTAAATTAATTTATTCTGACGCATGGATCCAGTTTTGTTCTGCTGCTTATGTGAGACACTGCCTGCAAGGGTACCTTGGTGAAAATCACTCTGGCACTGCTTCAGCTGCCTGCCCTTTGGTGGGCTGTGAGCCTGTTCAACATGAACCTCCTCAGTGGGGCCTCCCCAGAGCACTGGAGGAGGCCAAGAAGAGATTGTACTACGTGCCTGCAGTCTGGTCCCACAGGAGGAGTATTTTATTGGTTGACGCTTATTAATTTCATCTCATTAATTTGCATCAGATAGTAATTTCCTCTCTGCTTTCTTAAGAAGTATTGGGAATGTGATTATTCTCCTCTTGGAATGAATTTCTTCATTCATTATGGCATAATTGTCTCTGTGGTGTTGAAGTATCTGGTGTACTAATAACCACTAATGATCCTGGGAGCTGATATGGGGTGTATGGTTTGTCCTGGCCACTGGAAAAGATTAACACTTTGAGCTTGGCATCACATGCACTGAAGTGCTGAAGTCTGTTA